AAAGAAAAAAAAAAATCAGTCTTGGAACTTCACAACTCTGAGCTTTTGAAGGAGATCAAATCAATGTTAGTCCATTTTATTGCTTTTCAGTAATTGGTTTTTTTGAGGATCTTTAGATTTTTCATGAGAATGACAAATTGATCTTTTAGCCAAAGGGAAAAAAAACCCACACACAACTTAGTTTTTGTACAAAAGCATCATTTGTAAAATGAATGAATACAGGTCAACTAACCTGTTGCAGGCCATTTTCATAAGACTTTAAATAGGTTTTTTAAAAGCAAAAAAAACTTCCTTCATAAAAGCAATCTTTCTTCAGAGAAGCAGTCCATGTATTACGGTTGAGTAAAGGCCTGTAAATTAAGCTGTTCATTCTAAACAATTTAGCAATACTAAACACCCAAACCTGCAAACGTATACACACATGCTATGCTCAATTTTACTTCAGGGAGTAACCTCACTCTAGTCACTGGGATTAGCTGTGTGAGCAAAGTTAACTGCATACAGAACTGGTATACCTAATTGGTAAATATATATTTCTGAGAAACAAAGCAAGCAGCTTTTCTTAGAAGAAAAAGTATGTTTTAAACACAATATACACCTAGCATTCACATTGCAGAATGCGTTAGCAGAAATACAAAAAAAGCTATCTTATTAACAAAAAACAGGTAACAAGTACAATACAAAATCTGGATGGGAGAATTCTCTCCTCGCATTTACGCCACGGATGCTGAACTAGCAAAAATTACACCCTCGTTCTGTATCACTCATGAACAAGACAGCTATATATAAAGGTCCCTAATTTTTATGGTCCCCAGAAGGATGGCTCTCAACATCATACTATCAGAGGGTCTTTTGATGGTAGTTAACAACTGCTCATTCTAAAATAAATCAGTGCAAGTACTTCAAATGGAATTAATAGTGCAACTAGCTTAAAGTCAGTATGTTAGTATTAGCATTATCCCCCAAAATGAATGAGATGTATGGAGGCATGGGGAAAGGAAAAGGACAGCAGAAGTTTTCTTAGTACCAAATGTCAACCATTTAATAGCAAATCATGTGTAGGCACCATGAAGAAACAATCACAAATTAGACAAAGTGATTCTCAGTAGGCCCTGATAAACAGTTTAGAAAGAGTTGGAGCAGTCTTGAAAAAAATTACCTATAAGGAAGGCCAACATAGCTAGAAGGAATGGCTAACAAGAACAAAAATGGGACTGTAAGTTTAAAAAGCACCTAGGAGTGGGAGGAAATCCACTTTTTAGTGGAATGGCAACATAAGCAAATTAGGAATAACAGTATGACAGAGGGAGGCCATCTTCATGGTTTTACTTTCATTAAAAAATAATCCAGCCACCAAGGCAGGAAACATGAAATTAATTATTACTTTAGCCTTAACTGGTTTAGTGGTGGACTTGGTCATGTTAGGTTAATGGTTGGACTTGATGATCTTAAAGGTCTTTTCCAACCTAAACGATTCTATGATTCCACAGATCACAGCTTTAGATTCATGGGACAGCACAGCCCTTAGAATAATAAACAATGTGTTGAGCCCATCAAACTAGGCAAGATAATGGAGCAGCCAAAAAGGAGTCTTCATCTTCCATACAATTTAGAATAATTTTATTGTTTCTGTTTCACTGCAAATTAATTTATTAATCAGTCATCAATAACTTAATGCTTTGCTCTAACGAAATAAGCTCTACATTTCCAGCATTAAGCTTGCCAGGAGTTAATGCTGACCCAGGTTAAGCTAAGTTCATTATCAACCCAGAAGTGACAGACCCATGTAGAGCAGTGCTATGCACACAAACTCTCTCAGGAGAGCCTGCAAACCGACTGTATTTGAAAATTTCAGGAGCTGAGGCACAACTCCTGCCAAGCCACAAACAGCAGTTTGAGAGTCAGGTGCCAAAATGACAAAAGCCCACACCAGTCTCACTTTGACAAAGTACAGGCAACACAGTACAGCTCGTAATTCCTCATGACCCACCCAAGATCATCATACATTGTCTGCTTGCATCGTTTTTTCATCATTTTTGTGGAGAGGAATTTCTCTGAGACCACTGTGGCATGAAGGAAGAACATGCAGTGTTGACTCGGTCTCTTCATAGGCACCAAGCACTTGCATCCATTTTCCTGATATTTTTATTTGCCTATGATATTCAGCAGCAGGGAAACACAGTGATCCTTCAAATGCAGGTAATAGGACATGGCATCAATCAGCAAAATTCTTTTGTTGATAAACCTTTTTAATCATTAACAGATGCTTCATTGTTCAACCTCTTGTGATTTATCTAATATAACAAGTAGAAAGAAAAATCACCTACAACAGCTGCAATGAGAAAGCTGATGCAACTACAATTTCTTCTTTCCTGAAAATTATTAATCTTAAATGAGTCACAGAAAACTCCTTATTGTGCCTCCAGGGGACATATTAAAGGCTTTAAAACTCTGCATGAATTTCAAGGAATTTAAATGGATCAAAAGTTGCTGACATTTATCTATTCTGTAACAGACAGCACAGTGGTGATTGTTAGCTCCTGAAGTCCATTGAATATAGTCTTCATTATCAGTTGCTCCATTATAAAAAAGATTAGGTTTTGGATTAGGCCTCAAAATACACAACTACTTCTGACAAAACACAGTAAGACACCCTGGATCTAGCAGTAATACAAGTGTATTATGCTTATTTCTGTGCTTTTATTTTTCAGCTCTAAGGCAGGATGGGGACAGTTATTCTTCACGTGATTTATTTTTTGCTTTATTCAGTGTGTTCCCACACTAGCCTTTTCTATAAGAGAAGGCTTGTGAAAATACTTCTCACTGGTAACATTCCTGGTGTAGGTCTTGACAAAGACAACTGGTGTGTTTAGTATTTCATTCATGTTTTCTGCTTTTAGCTTGCTGTCACCTGTTCAACTGCCCTTCTTGGCAAGTTTTAGATAGAATATCAGTAACCCTGTGTGCTGCATGCATACTGCCTTTTTTGCACCTTAACTGACTAGTATTCAGATCCCCCTCCTTTCCCTAGATGGCAATGTTTTCATATGAATGTAAAGTAAAATCAATACTTTTCTCACTATATTCTCTAGGTTTTAAACAACAAACTGAGATTTAATTTACTTCGGGAACATAAGAGACAGTACACTGGCTTCCTACTTTCAGCTAATATATCATTTCATGCTTAAAAGTTACTCTAAAAGTACAGTGAAAAGTAAAACATTGTGCATTCAGTACCTGAAGTTGAATTTTTGCATCTTTGCTGACACTTTTTGTTCTCCATCGTCTTGTGACCCGCTTGTCTTTCTTTGAAATATCTACACAGTTAGCCTACATTACACAAATAGTTAAGAGTGACAAAGTACTATTAAGTTGACACAAGCAACACAGACAGTACAGCAAGTTAGTAAAGAATTGTAGCATTAGACATCTACAGATCAGAAAGTAAGGAGAAGAATGACACTGCCAGGGCCTGCAACTACAGCAGTGACCAGCTGTAGCTATCCATACACTTCTATAAACACATGGTATATTTAGCTCATTTAGCAAAACTACTGGTATACTTTCTTCATGAGTGCGCAATACTTAGGACCAGATCTTGAAACCCTCATGGATTTCTACTCTGGTACTACTCAGAGAAATGTAGAGTTCACCTCTTCCTGAAATCAATGGTAAGTCTCATTACCTCATTGGAACTAGACTTCCCCACACACCACCACCACTGGGAGATTTGTGTACTCAAGGGGACCGAGTGAAAAAGAAAGAAAGGATTTAGGATATGCTGTTGCTTTCTTGTGCTCAAGAGGAAAACTCAACCTGAACTGGGAAACAGTCCAAACCTTGGGACCTTTGTACTATGCCCTCTTTTCTAGAGCATGCAACTTCATCTTTGGGTCTCCACTCCTTAAAAACTTAAAATGATATCTTACTCAACACAACAAAAAATCCTTAAATACAATTTCAATGTATACATGTATTTCTATTGTAACAGTTCTTGGTTTTGCTTTGCAAATGACTTAATAATTTGATTCGTCCTATTTAACTCAAATAATTAATGTCTTAATTATTTGTTTATACATGAAACATTATTACACATTATTAAGATAAACATATAAGATAAACCTTTCATCCAAGAGTTACTGTGATTTCAGAAAATCATTCTGAGTTAACAGACAACATCTCTATTTCCCTTAACACAAAGAACAAATGTTTCACTGTGATGATTTACGCTCAAGGATATTTACCTGCATGTCTGTGAAATTTGGTGCCGACTGAGTTCTCTGTAGTATTTCTAAATTTTGAAGAAGTTTACTGAGTTCCACAAGGTTTGACTGGCAATGAGCAAGATCTAATAGATATAAAGCAAAAATACATCAGGTGCTTCAGTTTGGACTTTTTTTTTTTTTGCCATGATGTCCATCATTGGCACTTTATTGCATTAGAAAAGTTCAATGTCCAAATCCCTAGTAGTAAGGCATCTAAGTAAAAGCTTTATTTTTAGAAATGTTGAGCACTTGCTATTTCTATGGGAGTCAGCAATAAGTCTGGACCTCAAAAGTTGGTGACATTTTAACAATGACATCCATTAAGATAATACAGATTATTAAGATAAATTTTAAAAGCAACACCCCAAAACATGCAGAGAGGGAAGTTCCCACCACAAGCATCTAATTACCTGAAGAGCTACTTCATGTGCATGTAAAGATGCAACTTAATCACTTTACTGACTGTTTCTTATTTTATATCAAGAAGCTTTGCTGAAAGAACAAGGCATTGGGACATGGTTTAGTCTAGTCTACCGTTAATTGATTTAGTGTGGACTTGGTAATGTTAGGTTAATGGTTGGACTGGATGATCTTAAAGGTCTTTTCCAACCTAAACGATTCTATGATTCTATGAAAAGGTAAAGACTAACCTTCTGCACATCTGTCCATTTCTTCAGAGTCCTGCAACCAGGCTGCTACTTTACTCTGACCAGTAGTGCAGGTGGCAGGAAGGCTGTTACTGCAAGGTATAGGAGACTGCCAGGGGAAACTATTTTGCTGCACCTAAGGCATAATAAAATGCTTAAATTTACTGTTGCTATGTTGCTCAGTCAGTGTAGTCACCATACTACTTCAGAATAAGAAAACAAAATATGCATTGTGATTTCAGTGACATCTGTGATTTGACTATATAGTTCCCCAAGATGCAGATTTTTCTGAACAGCATGCTGGAGAACCAAACCAAGAACCTCACAAGCAAACTGTGTTTGCTAACCACCAGTTAGAAAAGCTGTTGTTTAAGAGGAAAAACATTATCAAACAGTAAAGAGACAGATTTTTCCTTGATGACAAAGGCAAGTGCACATTTTTCTGGGGATGGTGAATTCTTTGCAAGATCTCTACAGCAGCGCATTAATGAAGGCTGCAGTAAGGCTAAACTAGACAATCTTTCAGCTGCACACACTTACAGCTTTTTGCTGGCCATTCGTTCCCACAGTGGAAACTCCTCTCTATTGGCATTACAAGCAGAGCCCACTGAAACTGGCCATGAGCAAGCCCAGTGGGCACATGTTTTCAACAAAAGAACACTACATACCTTTCCATCCGACACATTAGCAGCTGGTGAAGACTCTGTGGTAGAGGCTGAAGGGAATATATGAAAGCTAGCATCTCTTGGAGATCTCACAATCTCATTCTGACGGTACAACCGGTGGTGGCGTAATTTTGAAACCCATGCATCAAATGAATCCTGGGACTTCACCTGGAAACAAATTCACTATCAAGAAACCATTCAAAATACTACTTTCTGCACATCTTTTACATTTTTATTTATTTCCACTGTGGATGAAAAGAGAATAAGTATTTGTATCACTTTTTACCTTCAGATGATAGATGTGTTCTTCTGTGTCAAGATCTATTCTACGAGCCTTCTTTTTTATAGACATAACTGATAAACCAACATCAATGCTCCCATGGACTTTGCCTTTCTGTATCTAAAACCAAAAAGCAGTGTAAGAAAATGGTAGTATCATGCACTACTTCACTATATTTAACAGAAAAATGTCTGGTGCTGAAATGGTTTCCCATTTTATGAACATTTTAATATAAAGCCATATTAAAAAATAAAACCTGTAGTCAGACTAACCACTTACTGTATTTACAGACAGAGAAAAGTATCTCACAAGAAGTGCTCAGTGCAGAGCCAATTCCAAAGTTAAAGTGTGTTGGTTCACACCAGTACACAGCTACAGGTAAGTGAGAAGCAGAGAAAATTAGACAGTACTCGGCTCCCTGCTGCTACTGCTTGACAGTTGTTGGTATCAGATCTAACTAAATTAATGCTACCCTTTATATCTCTCGAGTACCTTGTAATCACTTCTCTGTCCTATCCACAGGATAATCAGCTCTGACTGACATAATTGAAAAAGAATACATGGTCAGCCTAATCTCTCACGCACCTTCATTAAATAAACTACTTTAAGTAATGTAGTTTTTATTTTCACAGAAGTAAGAAAAAGTAAAATTGTTGAGGACAGAGATCAACCAAAACCTTACGTGCTTTCCATATACAGATCTCTCTTGGAATCCATCAACAACTTTCATGTGTGCACTGTCATAAATATGCCTAAAGTGAGTATGAGATTTAATCATGCTGACCGGCTGAATTCCAATACAAATTTTAAAATGGTCTTCAACTTTACTTACATCAATTGGTGACTTTGAATATTTCAACATTCCATTATCCAAGACAAAAAACCTCTGAAAGAAAAAGAAAAATATCCTTTCTTAATGAGCAGGTGCAATTTAAAATTCATCTGCAAAAGAAAAGGATCCCTCTGTAGCAATTAAGGATTGTTTGTGGGTTGGAAAGAGAGGACAAATACAGTATTGAATAGTTTTCTCGCTTGTTTTTTGACAACAATTATCTTCTAAGCAAGAAAAAGTAGATTCTCTTTTTTCAGCATTATGTTCTAGGTTTAACTTAACAAACCTCAATAATGAAGGGTATTTTTTTTCAGTCTTCCAGCCAATTCAATAAACTCTGTAAGAAAGACACTCTAGGCCAAAAGAGTTATGTCTATTTCTTCATTTCTTCCTGTTTTTCTTCCCACAGAAGCTGGTCACATTTCAAATTAACAACCTACCTTCCCTATCTAGAAACTGAAAAGTTTTTCCTAGTGCAATATCTACATCCCAAAAGGAAGACCCACATATGGATGTTCTTGTGGTCTCCTTGATCTCTAACCAGGAAAAAAATGCAGGCTGTGAGACACTGCTTTACCATCCAAAACTTTGTGCCTCATGGCAGACCTCTACGCAGTGAGGTAAAGATGAGATTGGAATTTGTGCTGATTATACCTTTTCTAGCTGTAATCCAGCTAATAAAGGTATAAGTGTAGATATTATAGCATTCCCAGCAACATACCCAGGTCATGGGAGGGCTTATATTTTGGGTGTTAATTATTGATATGGGGTGAGCCACTATATCTTCATTGATGTAGTTACCAGGCCTAGGCTAGCCTGTGCCACCACTACACCTTTATTTTGCAGAGTGGCTCTTGCTTACAGGATAGAGCAGAATCTCCTATTCACATTTTTTTGTGTTTCTCCTGCAATTAAAGTTGCCCTAGCTTGTGTGTACCAGACAACTCAAGCTGCATTGTGGACCAGTTAGCATAGGCAGGCACACAGCATAAAGATAAAGCCTAGCAGGAAACCTAGACTTGAAATGAGATTCACTAACTTGTGTTTACCACCACTAACTTTCAAAACATGCTAATTAATAAAAAACAATTCATATTTTTAGAATCTAACCTAAAGCACTAATCTATGTTAAATATGTAGAACACAGCAAAATATTATCCTAGACTCTTTAAGCTGTCTGACATGGAAGGGAAGGACAATGTTTTCATGATGTGAACCTGTTAAATTGACACTATGAGCAGGGTCAGTATTAAGATGGCAGAAAATACCTCCTGAAGATGGTTTGGGAAATTATGTCAGTGGCAAAACAGATGGTACCAATATCTCATGCAGGGCAAGAAAACAGTGCTTTCCTGGAGGCGTAACTTCTTGAATAAGATGTCAAAACAACAGGAGGGGTTTTGGTTCTGGGGGGTTTTTTTGGTGGGTTTTTTTTTTTTTTTCAACTAGGTATGGTCATTAATGGACTTCACAAGAACATGATATTAATTGCATATTGCTCTGCCTCTCCACACACGAAAGAAAATGACTTTTCCAAAGCATACTACACTTCAGAAAATGATAAACTACTCAGCAAGCTGTACGCATTATACCTGGTGTGCTACTAAAGCCCATTCAGAACTGTCAGAAAGTAACATGCAACATTCAACAGACAGAGGATGCTATGGCTTTGCTAGCAGAACACTAACACAGCACATGCTACAATTACTGTCTCTGGCATTCCTCACTGGGCTCTCAGCACAAAGCAGTGTTACGGAAGCTGCAGGATATCAAGGCAGCAGTTGAAAAAAAAAAAAAAAAAAAAAAGAAACTTATTAACAAATACACAGTTTTGAAACATAAGTTCAGCATAGATCCTTAGGTGAAATGTAAGGCAGGGTAAAGGGGGATGCTGAACTATGAAGCTCTTAATCACATTAAAAATTATTTACACAGGTAACTGCTCTAAAGTCAGCATGAAAACAGATCACCAGCAGTGATCTCCTTTATAGAACTGTGAAAGGTGGACTCCCCTTGCTCTCCTATAAAGTTCCTTACCAAAACAGACACTGGTCCAAGAAACAACACATTAACATAATATATTTTAAAGGAGTGGAAGCAGTGGGTTATTCCATATGTTCTTATACATCTGATTAATTGGTTTGGGTTTTTTGGGGGGATGAAGGCATTTTGTTAGGGTTTTGTTTGTTTGGGGGTTTTTCGGTATGCTTGTTTGTGGTTTTGGTTTGGGGTTTTTTTTTGTGGTTTTTTTGTTTGTTTTTTGTTTGTTTGTTTTTTTAAATAAGCTCTCCTTTTCTGTTCTTTCAGTGTTTCAGGTATGTCAGTTTGAAATCCTTTAATCGCCCTAGACTAAATTCAAGTAGTGCATATGTATTTGCTTGCTGAAACTACAAACTCTAGCTAAACAAAACAAAACCAAAAAATCTAAGATAGATAAGCATGCACAAAAAAGGGTGGCAGGCACATGTATAAGTTAGTATAACATTCAGAAAAAACAGAGAAATTAGAAAAAAGTGTAATTTATACTAGTATGGACTGCATTTGGACTCAGACCTGAGTAAGTCCCACAGTGTCTAGGAAAAAAAGTCAATGCTTTCCCAGAAAAAAACGCCATGTATAACAAATGGTTTCACTATCCTTTGCAGTAAAACACATTCTGTCCTAGAAAATCATCCTGTTTCAAGTACCCTCAGCTACAAAAAGACAGGTGAGCGTCAATATCACACATCTTGTTGCTAAAAAAGGGGAAAAAATGTAATTATTATGGTATAAAATACAGACAAAAGAGTTTATGAACACCAGGTTTAGGGCTAACAAAAGGTAGAATTATGCATGGAGAAATGTCTCCAAATTAACTAAACAGAAACAGGAGATTTGCGGTTGAGTTTTGAGGTAGTTTGTTTTGTTTTCTAAATTGAGTAATCAAATGGCAAAAGTGCATAGTCCCACTGCATGCCCACATGGAAGACTGCAATCAAGACGACAAACAAAATTCAGGGACAAAGCTGAGCAAATCTGCCCAGTCAGCATGCCTGAAGGGAAATGCTCTCCCGTACAAACACCTTGGGTCCATGGAAAAGCCCCTCAGCTCTCCTCTGCTATCATGAAGTCCTGTGTACTTTAATGTAAACTCAATGCAATCTTACAGTACACAGCTACATTTTAATATATTGGAAAGAACAAAAGGGATATTGATTAAACCTCTTAAACCACAAGTCATCTGCTACATTATTTACAACTTCCGCCTGGACTTTGAATACAACATTAGACAGCAGGCACTGCAATTTGGAACCCATGAGCTGTGTGTGCAACTAATTCTTTACACAATTTGAAGAAAAAGTCATACACCAAGATCCTGGGCATTTATTTGACATCCTAATGTCCTCTAGACAAAAAATGCCAACTCATAAAATGAGGTAATAATCTTGACTGTTTGATGAGACATTTACCTTGTGCCAACCTTTTAAAGGCCATTTTCTCTTTTTCAGCATGAAACCTTCATGTTTGTCTGGCTTCTGGACATTGGTCTGGCCTATTTTCAGACCCTCTATGATTTCCCAGCTGTCAGGTTCCTGGTGAAAAAGTATGAAGACACATTGACTAATTAACTGTGCACACACACAATGAAAAATTGCACTTATATGTAGCACAAATTCTCCAGTGCAAGACAAAGAGTAAAGGAGGGCTAGGCTTTTAAATCAGCCTGTTTGGGTACCAAACTACATGGTCACTGTATTATGTCCATCTGTATCTGATATAAAACTACTGAATTTGAGTATTTTTGGAAGTCTAACACTTCCCAGGTAACTAAAAGGAAGCTGAAGCTTTTAAAAATGTCTGACACTGAAACTGAATGACAATCTGAGGATGGGTCTGGACATGCCATTCACAACAAGGACTGCATCCCAATGAAATAAATACATCCAAATACATGAAAACAGGATCAAATTGTGGCTGAGCTGAGTGGCCGAGTATAAGAAAGGTCAGATCTGCTACTGGAGGTAACGGTGTGAAAGTGCAGGTGGCTCTGACCACCTGTTAAGTCTATGCAGAAGGCACCCCACAAATTAGCACTGCACTGTAAGAACTAAAAGGACTGAAGAGATTTTGCAAGTGGGGTATGGGCAGAATCTGCATGTTAAAAATGTACCTTTACTCAGAGTATTCCTTCTCTAAAAAAAGATTGGATCGTGAGATAAAATGAGGAAAAACAGATACTGTTAAATATATGGGCATACATTAACAGCGCCCTTTGTGGTATTCCCTGATCATAAAAAATTGTAAATTTTCTGATCTTTAAAGCACAAGCTACATTGATTCTGGATACTCTAATCTTTCCTTAAAATCAGAAAAACAAGCAGAAGAGGTTGGTTTGTTTTTGTTTTGAATGTAGCCAGCTCATGTCTTCAAAGACATTTTATGAGAGTTTCACAGGCTAATTGCATCTTTAGAAATCTGCAAAAGGAGATTAATTTTTTAAAAAAATTTCCTGCATTCATTTTCACTGTATTAAGAGAAATTTATAGGAAAGCTAACTAATTTTCTCTCTAGAGAAAAGAATAGGAACTGTATCATTTCAGATACAACCTGCTGTATGCCTTTCAGGGAGCCAATTAAAGCATATTTCTTGTACATACCGCTTCTTATCCATGACGACTTGTACAATTCAAGCCAGACTTACAATATACCATAGTGAACAGCCAAAGAACAATATTTTTAAAGAGAAAAAACAGTCATGCCTTCATTTCTATCTTCTTGCTACTACTGTAATCAACAAAATCCTGTACCAATTTAAAAATCTCTCATCGCCAGCTCATTAAGACTCTATTTTACTAATTGTATCCTAGAAGGTTGTAAACTTGTATTTTCTCAGCTGATGTGTCACAATTCCAAGCAATGTTACGAAAAGTTGCCGAGAGAGGATGGAGGTCATACAGCATCAAACATTTAAAGGGAAAAAAAGATCGTCTCCTCCATTTCCCATAAAACTGTTCAAAGCCAAGCACTGTCAGTCTTTCGTAACACCTCCAAGTAAGTTACACAGCCCTGTTAACGTTAACGTTACTATTATGAAAATACAATTTCAAAAGTAACAGCAAATTTCAAATCTACAATTTTCAATAAGGTCTTGTTATTTTGAGAAGGGTGAAAAGCTCTATCCCAAATAATACATACTACAGTAAATTTTAATAGAAATGTTTATTCAGTTTAGTTTTCCCTGCATAACTGTAAACTGGAACTATCCTGGTGCCTGTAAATGCCATGCTCAGAAAAACACCTTTTTTACTTGCCTGTGTTTTGCTTGGATATTCTATTTCCACTACTCTAGAGAGAGGCACATATGCATTATATTTAAACTTGACACTTGAAGGGGGAAAATTAAACTATGAGTCCCCTGGGGCGAGCAGAGAGTCTCTGTCTGCAACTCTTGCCAACTGATTCTTCACCATATTGATTTCTCCTTTAGAAGATCAGCTGCAGGCATAAGTCCTTTATCTACTAGATAACATCAGTATTGATTACTTCTCGACTAGAAATCACACAATCTCATATAGCTATTCATTTAAACAAAAGGCCTGATACAGAAGGACAAAACGAGCAATTATTCAGTGCAATATGGATACCTATCTTCTGCTGCACCAGTGCTACAAGCTGTTCTTAAAACCATCCTAACAACCCTAACTGTGCCTCATCCCACAGGTTTGGTGTGATGAGATATGCCCAATACAAGGGACATTATGCAGGAGCAGCCAGAAATGGGGGAAAACCAGAATGAAAGTGATATGCTTGAAGGGTCCTCATCCAATGCTGATTCTCAAGTTCAGCATTAATATTTTAGGACCTCTGCAATTCGCCACGTATTACGTGAGAAACAGCTCTGCATGAAGCAGGAGGACCAGGGGAATGCAAGGACAACTTACAGTCCCCGGGTCTGCGTACGCCCCAGGTATTGGGAGCAAGGGAGCCACTACCAACAGCTTTCTTAACTTAGTCTTTTTGACTTTTTTTTTTTTTCCAAATAAAACAGAAAGAACCATTTCATTTCTCCTGGATGAACAAAATGTTTCCTTTTCAATTTGTTTTACAAGTTCTGTTTCAGAACTTACGGACATTTCATTTCAGATTTTTCTTTTCCACCAAATATTCCACCACAGCACCTTCATCTTTTCAGTAACAACCTTACTTTTTCATATGAAGTATCTTAAAATGAAGCCTTCTTTACATGGAATTAGACTTATTTGGAATCAGTTAATCTGAAACTGAGGAATTCAGCCAGGAAGAAGTTGACTGCAAAGCACCACATACAAGGCTGCACCTTTCAGGAACTGGTGGTGTTACCCCTACAGTTCTATCCATTTCTCTGCCTCAGAAAAGAAGGTCTCGGCAAGAGATTTTAAAATTCAAACCTTAAGAAACTACCCATAAGGAATGTCATTAGGACATATTTTTTAAATTAGTATCACTATTGATTAGCAGTACTTTTGGACTTGGATATGATTTGCTCTACCTTAATAAGAGGATTGGCCTGGATCATTTCACAAAGTCCCTTCTAGCCCCATACTCTGAGATTGGAAAACTTGTTCCTGGGGGCCATCCATGGGGAAAAAAAAAAAAAAAAAGCAGATCACCACCACCATCCAAATTCTTAATTTTGTTAATATAACATCTACTAAAGATTACTGGCCCCTCTGACACCTCAGCTGAGGAATAGGAAGCTCCAGGGCAGGCTCTCAATATACTCAATGCTAGAATCATACAAACCAATATCTGAAAGCTGTTAGTCAAACTACTTTGTAACTACAGGGGGAAACTCGTCACCCAGATTACAGCCCATGCTTTTGCTTACCTTGGATAGAGAGATAGGGTCGCTTTCAAGGAACTGCTTGCTTAAAGAAGGGTCTGTGCTTCCTGAAGAAGCCTTCCGCTCCAAAATATTAACACTCTATTAAAAAAAAAAAAGAAAAAAGGTAACAACTTCCCATTCCATGTTACTTTTTAAAATACATATTAAATAATGAATGGCCGATCATTACACTCCTTATATAAAATATCAGCATCACAACTCAAAATGTACCAAGTATTACCCATGCATGACAAAACTGCACAGTTTGTCTTCTGAGGCAATACACCTCTCTTCTCTTCCCCTCTTTCTTTGTTATTATTGGTTTTTAAACTAATTACTCTGTTCAGCCTAGAAATTACTGGGGACTAAAAAAAGCCAGTAAAGACAAGTAATGCAGTTCTTACCTACAGAGATGCAAAGCGCTCCTAGCCAGACCTATTATGTTTTCTGCTAAGATACAAGACACTGAGTATACATACCATGCAGTCGGCACTGTCCCACATTCACTGCTGAAGCAAACCACTGTGCATAAGATATTACTGCCTCTAACATATTCATTATCACAACTTAGCATTTTGTTATTGACTTCTCAAGAGAGGTGAAGTAACTCATTACACAAGTGCTTTTAATAGATTACAGGTCTTCACAAGATTAGTTACTGGGTCTCAGCTGACAGGCTTGCCAGTGAACATTTATGGAACACGCTCTTAAATCATTACAGCTGTTTTTACATATGACAATACTATAAAATGTTATATCTTCAAAGCATGGTACAAAAATGAAATACATAATGTCACAACTAGTCCTGAAAAAACTGCTATTCTTAAAAGACATCTAAAAACATGTTCACATTTTCCAGAAATGTTTCACTCATATTTTGTAAAGGAAAAAAAATTTTTGCTACAGGAGAAAATAATCACATTCTGCCTGCTTGGATTTGCATTTCATTCTCTGGTGAAATTTTGCTACATCTCGTATTATTATTTGGTAAGAATTCTACCACAACATGTCAGTAGTATCTCTTGGCATGAAATAAAACTATTTCATTGTTCCCTTTCAATTTGCAACTGTGAATGAGAATAGGAAAATATGGGCATTGTCTCTGTTGTCAGTGGAGATTAATAAGCATCCCTGCCACTATGCAACAGTAATCAGCATTAACTTTCAGTTACTTTTAATTTAATTTTACAGCAAAGAATGTAAAAAAGCAGCAGTATTATGTTACCTGCCACATTCCCCAGGGCCAACCAGCAAAAACTTTGTCATCTATGCTTTGAAATCTTCTGCTTTATCAAAGACAGACCTATCTTATTACTTAGCCCAATGTCTACTACTAGTCAGATGAGAAAAACGTTTGTATTTATACAGAACAAGTTCCTACATTACATGTCAAATAATTTAATACACTTGTTTGAGCTGAGCACCACAAAGTTCCTAATGATAAACTACGATAAAGTTTTCTCATTGAATGGATGAAATGCTACTTTTGCACACAGTATCACATCTAAACAATATACAAGAAAACCTAAATCTGTTCCTCCAAGAAAGATTAAAATGTTGCTTGATTAGCATAATCAGGACGATTCCCAACTTTCTTGCCAGTTTTGTTTGGCAGGCAGGAATCCCTCCATCTTGAGATGGAGCAATGCCCAACACAGATGTTCTGAAGGTCTCATACGTAGCAGCCAGTGCAGTTTGTTGTTACATAACTGCAATTTCATTTTGTAC